AGACGTGAAAGAAAAAATGGATTAACTTATTTGTAAGTATTGAAAGTAATTGTGCAATTGCAAGACTGACAGTTTGGCATAATTGGTTAAACAGAGTTTGTTTTTCTTGAATCCGCGAAACTTACATGCACTTCGCTATCGGCCATGGAATCAGCATCTAACTTTTTAAGATCTTCTTCCCTACCTGAGAAGATTGAGAATTTACAAATTTTTTGTTGTTTTCTGTGTTTTCAGCCATGATTTGGGCTTTAAAAATAGCTCCACGGTTTCTTTTACCAACGCTACAAGAAGACGGCGCGAACATTGGTTGTCTTGGTTTATTTTTAAAAATACATTTTAGCACGGCAAATTCTTTATTTTAGCACGCAAAATGCGCCACAATGCCCATCAAAGTGATAATAATACAGTTTTTAGCCGGAATTTAAAAGAAACTATCTTTACATAGCGAACGCACCAAGTGAGCGTTTTTCGTTGTATAAACAAGGCAGTGTTTATAAACAAGGAATACCGCAGAATTTCCAAAGTAGCGAAATTTATGACTTTTGAAAATCAGGTAAACGAACTACAAGTGCTAATTCAGCCCTACCATCCTGAAACTTTTGAAGGTTTCCTTGTTGCCTTTCGTTTCTCTCGATGTCACCTCCTTCAGTCATGATCCTCTTTGCCAGATTTTCATCTCCTTTTGCTTCTTCTCGTGATTTCCGTTTCCTTCTCACTTTTGACTCGTCACCTTTCTTCTCAGTGTCGTTCATTGACTTCTGCTTGCTTTTATCAGATGTAGCCGGCGCCTTCAGCAACACTACTGGCTTTCCGGTCCAGTTTGTGACTTCTTGGATAATGTGTACTAAAATATTAAATACCGTGTGTTTTAAGTTTTCTCTTTAGTAGGCTTTTGAGAAACTTACACAGTTCTTATCAGCAAATGCTCGTCAAGATGTATAAAACGTGCACATCGAGCGAAATCTCTCGTGCGTAGCTTCCCTCGAGGAGAGAATTGAATATTATTTGAACGTCTGGTTTTCAGAAACGAATAAATTTAAGGGCGTGTATAAATAAACGGGGTCTTTAATATGTTAAGCTACACTGTTGTTCATTCACCAATTAATCGGAAAGAAGCTTATAAACTGATTTACTCGCTACTTCTTTGTAGAGATTTTTCTTCTCAATTTTCGCATTCAAATGGACGGTGAAAAAGAAAAAAAAACATTCCGCTCCACAAAACAACAAACAAAAAACGGTGGAACCAGAGTTTAACCACGTTAATATTTGAGCTTAATATTTAACTACAGAACTAAAGTGATTCATCAAACTCCGCTGCACGCGTTCCACACTTACCGTTGAGCTCACTGCTACTTTCATCCGATATTAAATTTGGAAGTTCAAGCTGCCATTGCCCATCCGTCACAATTGCAAAATTTTCGCATTTGCCCGCAGGCGATTTCGCCAGGCGAAATAACTTTAACGAAAATCCGCCAATTCCATATTGATGTGCCTGCTCCTTTAGTCCTAAAAACTCCGTAAGATGTTTTTTTAGTTCAGATACTCCTCTATGAGCTTCTTTGTCTACTGGGACCCTGCTTCGATGACGTTCGATGGCGACTTCTTCACCTTTTCGAAAAAAACTCACGATGACTTTAGCAATCCCAGTCATGACCCGACCGCATGAACAAACAACGAGCAATAAAAATACAACAGCAGGGCGTCTCGTCGGCTCGATTGTGATCCGCTGTTCTTGAAATGAGACAGCAGGGCGTCTTGTCAGCCCGATTACGAGCCGCTGTTCTAGAAATGAGCCCACGCTGCTCACCGAAAAGAAGGATCCCGTGGATTTAAAGTAATTTGAAGACAAGAAATTCTATAATTCGGCTAAATTTGGAATTAATGCGGTTACGTCGGGTGAAGAAGGATTTTCTGAGCTAGAAATCATCAAAATGCTGTTCTTTCTGAATACAAACATCCCTATCACGTCTGACCATGTCGGTTGTCGGTTAGAATTTATTTGTCGCTAGTCGGTAATTTTTTCCCCGTTTCGTCGGTAGTCAGTAATTTTTTACGCCCTTTGTCGCTAGTCGGTTAACCCCATTCACACCCTCAGTTAGGCTTCCTGAAATCCTCCGCAGTCCGGTTTTGGCTCACATTTTGTGCATTTTCCCCGCTCCGAGCTCAGCTTTCGAAGCTCGATTTGGAGACAAGTCTAGCATCTCAGAAAGGGTAAATTACCGTCACTTTCTATGGTGTAATGACCCGATTAGTTCTTACCATCTAATTTACACTAGCGCAAAAACTCTACTCCGTTTCAGAGAAATATCTGCGTCATAGAAAAATAGAGAGCTATTAAAAGTACAGGCTTTTTTTGGACTCTTTACCTGAGTCACGAACGTGCTACAGGAAGTCTAATGCCGCACTGATTTTAATTTGTGCTTCTTAACCATCTCCAATCAGTTGGAAAGCCCTGGTCTTTGCATGGAGAACATGCCGCCACGGAAGAAAAATTAATTATCATACGAGAAAAGAAAATCCGACTTACAGCTGCCGTTCTTGGCTCGGCAAAAACATATGAACGCTGTCGGCTGTAAGCCTACATAACTGCCTCATTTGACTCTATTATTTGGCTCCAACATTTTGGCTCAGCTTTGGTATGAGAACCTGTTACGTTCACAAGTGACTTAACGAAGTCTAAACAGTAAAGACTAGGAAAATAATAGTGACAAAACAAAGACAAACTTCACAGGTTCTTACACCGAAGTTAACCTGACATTTTTTGTATGTTCAGCAGGATTCAGAGTCCAGTGAAGAAGAAGAAGGAATCAGTGAGGAGGAGTTCAAGAGGACAGAAGGATGGAAGCTGTTTAAGGAAGCCTTGGATGCACACACTAAGTGCAATAACTCTGCCAAAAAGTAGTTTACTTCTCGTATGTTCCTTTTTAAGCTTTATTCACGTATGCAACCGAGATAGACAAAGTTTATATGGTTGCACATTTTCAAAAGCAAATTTTTATCAAACTGCAATTTATATCATAAACTTCTTTTTTAGTAAATAATTATGACTTTGTAAACCTTTCATAGGATTTCCTTTTTTAACCTACCTGCGTTTTTGTAAATATTTTGGATGAATACATGACTGTACTACTCAAACATTGTGACAATGTACATTTGCATAGTGGAACCCCGTCAATACGACCACTAACGGGCCATGGAAATTTGGTAAATTTAAAATTAAGCAGAATTTAAATTTAAAGTAAATTTAAACTTAACTTAACTCGTATGGGCGCCCGTTTCGTCGAGACAAAAATAATGGCTGTATTAACGAGGTGGCCGTAGGACAGAGTTTTATTGTATTTCATACGTTTCAATACATTGATAATGGCCATTTAAGTTGTTATACCCATAATTTTGAAGAACTGTTGCGGGAAAGGGGTTGTGACTGAAATAGATAAAAAAATCAAGAATCCACTGGAGGCCGGGAACCTAAAAATAAAACTACGTGGAAACCATGCACTTTTTACAGTTTTTATAAGCCTTGTTCACAATCTTTTCTTGCCCGTGTAGTCTTAATGAGCTTAAAACAGATATTTTTACATCATTATTAAGCTTGGTTACAGAATAAAACAACTGATGTTAGTTAATGCATACACCCCGATTTCCACATACACTGGCAAATAAAAGATAGCTGATATGAAATCGTCTAGTATTATTATTATTTATTCATTTTTAACGTAAATATAGATGAAACGAAAGTCAAGTGAGGACATTATCCAAGCTTCTGAAAGCTTGCTACGGGCAAAGTGATAAATATACAATTCATAAATTAAACTATTCTTAAAACTAGATTTTCTGTCGGTGTTAAAGAGACTTTCCTCGCCGATCCCTTCCCCTTCACTTGTATCTGAATCCTGATCAAAATTAATGAATCGTCGCTCAGTAGAACAAATAATATCCACCACTAACTATTGTTTTTAAGAGGATAGGTACACAAAGTTGAGGGAATTCTGTTCAATTTTTAATTATTGCTTGTACAAACTTCAACATTACACAGCAACAGCCCTTTAATGACAAAATCATTGGTACATAACAAAATGTAATGATTTCAAGATTTTCGAGCATCACAATAATGAGACTTTCCCATGAATTGGGATTGATATTGGTAAGATGAAAAGTGGCATAGCTCCATTGCTGTGGAGAACCCAGTGGCAGATACTCCGTTTGCGCCATCTTTTATAAACATTTGACAGATAACTTTAAGAATATCTAACTATATAGGCCTTCACTCTATTGTTTTTAGTTTCACAATGAAATTTTTTAATCAATAGACGGTCCATAAAAACAAGAAAAGAACAAAATAAGTTTTGACGAATGTAAGAGATCCTCGCAGCTAAGAACACTACTGAAACGAGTAGTTGAAAATAGAACCTGAAAAAAATTCAGGCCCTTACGGGATTTGAACCCATGACCTCTGCGATACTGATGCAGCGCTCTACCAACTGAGCTAACAAGCCAACTGGGAGCTGGTCAATTTGTTGGGTTGAATTTTCATATATCTAAAATCAAAATAAGTTTTTTTGTTTCGTAGTAACAGCAAGTTTCTGTTCCACCCTTCACTATTGGCTTTTTAAGCATCCGTGGTCTAAACGAAAAGCTTTATTTGTTTTATATTATTTTTGTTTTGTGAGGTTGTTTTTTTGTTGCTTTAGAGAATATTGATACGAGATGACCAAAAAAGTCGTATGAGGACAGCTAATGGAACGCGGCAGGCATCACCCAAAGTTGCTTGAAAAATTAACTATTGAAATTTATCTTGTCAGAAAAAAGTCATGAATTTGAGAATTCTGATCTCTTTAATAAGCATATTTTATTTAGCGACGAACTTAAACTTTTCTCACGATGTGGTTTGAAGATGTATGCACGCATTTCTTGCCTATGTTTTACCATTACGAGATAAACCTGTCAGCGGTATATCACCTGGTAGGTTGGTAAGTACTTCATGTATCAAGTGTAGTTTCTCAGCTGAGGAAACCTTAGTATCTTCTCCAATAAGCCTATGACCTTTCTACGTAGGCTTTTATACATTTCAGCGTTGAGTTAACTTCAATTTGCTCAACCGAATACGCGGGGATGGGAGTTCCAGCATTTTTTCGCTGGCTATCAAAGAAGTACCCGTCGATCGTAGTCCACTGTGTAGAAGAAAAGGTGAGTCGATGGAAGGATTGATAGCTTAGCTTGTTGTTGGTCCAGCTACACGTGTTTAAGATTTACTTTTTGAGCCGGTATTTTTCGGTCTTTCTGCCCTGTTGCTATGATATTCAATTAAATTAAGTATTAATTTACTATTATCAATGTAGGAAGGCCGTTTAAATAGAGATCAGTGCCAACTGTTTGTCAAAGAAACACTTTAAAATTGAGACTTCTCAGCGCGCGGACTCGGAAACAGTCCTCTTAAGATAGTGAAAGCTCTTTCTGAAAGTGAGAAAGCTGACTTGATCAAGGATCAAAACTTGAGCACAGGGTTTTTTGTTCATTAATGAACGATTTTCTTAAATTAAGAAGTTTCTATATTGGATTGCTATTAAAGAACTAGGTTATGTTACAGTGTGCATGTATCTTCTATGCCTCTTCTAAAAGGACCAATTTCGTATTTTTATTATTGATCAAAGTGGTAGGGAAAGGAAAAATAATAATTTGGTTTTATCAACTGAGGATAATGTATATTGGCCACTGAATAGAGTTTCTAAAGCTGATTTTTCAACGGTTACCCCTTCATCGTTTGCTCTGATGAAACGCTAATACTTGAAATGTCAGTTTTAGAATCTATTTCCTGTGGCTAATTAACATTACCGACCCAGTTTATAAAACCACATTATCTAGTAATACCCCTTCACCAATACAGGACCACAGTTTCTTTAGAAAATCGAACCCTTAATCCACTGAAGGAAAAAATGATTGCATAGCACCATAGCACAGAAATTTTGGTATGCAAAATGAATATTTATCTTAGTTTTTCACCATCCTAGGGACGAGAAGTGGATGGAGTTAGAGCCCCAGTGGACACAAGTTTACCAAACCCCAATGACTATGAATTTGATAACTTATACCTGGACATGAATGGAATCATTCATCCTTGTTGTCATCCTGAAAACAAGTAAGCAGCAATTTTTATATTTGTGTTATTTAAGCTAAGGGTGGCCTATTCTGCATGAGCGTATCCTTGCCTTGGGAGCATAAAGCAAATGGTTATATGGTTTTATTACTTTTCCTCCTCTTTCTTTCCTCTTGTGTAAGTATTGCTGTTACTGGTTAACCCTCTCTGTACTGTAGGTGTACCTTTTGCATACATTAAGTAAAAGAAATAAACATTTTATAATTTATTTCCAGGCCAGCCCCAAAGAATGAAGATGAGATGATGGTGGCTATTTTTGAGTACATCGACAGGTACTTTTTTTGTTTATTTTTACTCCTGGTTGGAGAGATGCACCGTGTACATAACCTGTTTTACCCAAGGACACAACAAAATGACCTGGTCTCAAACCTAGACCTCTAGAACAGAAGCCTAGTGCACTGACCATGTGGTCACCACATCTCTTGTCCAGGGAACACTTTGTAAGATTTTACTCTTGGTTAACACAAATGGAGGCTATGTGCCCAAGAGACCCGGGGGCTGAAACCACAGTAGTACCCTGAGGTGCTTGAACACCAGACTGGCCTACCCAACCCGCAATCCATCCACAAACATCCTACACCAAGCCCCCTATGAGCACTATCACACTAGAGCCAGATAGCTGAGTGGAGGAAAACATGAATAATGAAATGAGTCAATAACTGAAAAAAAAAATAATAATAATAATAATAATAATAATAATAATAATAAATAGAAATAAACCCTGCAGTTAGGGTTGGGGGGGGGGGGAATGCCAAGAACCATAATCTGCAAGGATGATAATGCCACACTATAGAACAGCGATTACAATGCAAGCACTCTGTAGAACAACACATGCACTGGTAAGGTATACCACTGGATAAGGACGGCCTCAAGGTCCCAACAACCACAGTACTGCTCCAAACAGAATGCAACAAATGCTGCATGAATGCTAACAGCCAGCCAAGACATTTATCAAACACCTCAAAACACTACTGACCATATTTTCTCTTAGTTGTTATCTATGGCATATTCCATTTAATTATATTTAACATTCATTACCCACTACAATCAATTTCTTCTTCTTCTTTTTTTTTTTTTTCAGAATCTTCTCTATAGTTAGACCCAGAAAGTTGCTTTACATGGCTATTGATGGAGTGGTAAGAGGCACTTTGCCAGTATATTTATCAATCTGTTATAAAATATACATTTTTTCTATTTTGGCTATTTATGATAATATTTACGCATGCTTGTCTTTAATTTTTTCATTTCTATTGCAGGCTCCAAGGGCAAAAATGAACCAGCAAAGATCTCGTCGTTTCAGAGCATCTAAAGAAACCAAGTTAGTAATGAAACAGTAATCCAATTAGTGCAAATGTTTGCACACTACAGATGAAAACATAATAGCAGGAAATGCTAAATTTTAACCTTTTTTAGGGAAAAAGCAGAGGAAATGACAAGAATTCGAAGTGAATTGATGGAAAAAGGTATTCAAAATGACACTTAAATTTATATTACTTTCTGTAAGTGCTACTTACTTCTATGGGCAACGAACTTATCAAAATTGGAAATGATGTATCATGTCCAAAGTTGGGTGAAAAAATAAATTATTGCCTATGGTTGTAGGATCAAACAAGTAAGGTCATATTTTTTCTAGTCCAAATGGAAAAGTTACCCCTCCCAGATGCTCAGACAGGTCAAGTTTTATGCAGTTTGGAATTGTACACTAAACAGATTTTATTACTTTCTTCTTTAGGAGCTCTTTTACCACCAGAAAAAGGAAAAACTGAACACTTTGACAGTAACTGTATTACACCAGTAAGTGTACTTGTGGAGGAGAATTAACAATGAGATCTTGGGAGTGAAAGGGTTAACAGATGTTATTGGTATATTTTGTATGTTACAAGGATGACATCTGTAAATCATGCCTTTTACCTGTGCATGAAATCTCTAAGATTGTGAACAAAAAGATTTAACCCTTTAACTCCTCTGTGTGACCAAGACAGAATTTCTTCTAACAAGTTGACACTAATACAATGTCAAGTAGACAAGTAATGAGAATGAAGAAAAATATCAATTAGGGATTATTAGTTGATCCAATACCAAATTCTCCAAACTAACATCATAAGAATTGTATGGCAGACAGTAATGAGAATTACTAATGAGATCCCAAGAAAGAAAGGGTTAAATCATTCCAAAGTAGGTGGTTTACAGTGGTGTGCTTCACTCTATGATCTGCTTGGACATAAATGAGTAAATTGTTCTGTTATGCTCTAAATTCTTGCATAATTTCAGTGAACAACAGAGATGGTGGACTTGCTCACTAGATGTGTATAATTTATGTTCCTGAGTGAAGATTGGCAATCGTTTATAACTGGTTGATGTTAGACTTCACTGTTATATCATGTATTTCAAATGTGCAATGGATTGAGAAATTCCTCTGAGTGTGAATTTTTCTTTGTTACAGGGGACAGAGTTCATGGCCAATTTGTCGATATGTTTAAGATACTACATTGCTGACAGATTAAACAATGATCCTGGATGGAGGAATATAAAAGTAAGTACAGTGCACCTTAATGTAAGTTTTGATAGTTTTGTTCTCTTCCAGTGACTTCCTGCGACTTAGGAATTTTTCTTAATGATATTAATACATTTTTAAATAGTCAGGTGATGAGTAAGAAAGAAAGGAAAGTATCAAAGCAGGGTTATTGTATGCTTTAAAACTAGTTTCTCAGAACTAAAATAATTTAAACTGCATGGCAGAAGTGCACTGAATGATCATTGAGATTACACAAGTGTAAGAGTAAAAAAGGTATCGGAGAACTGTCAAGGAAAATTGGCACAACACTAGGGTGACCAGCAAAGGAATCCTTTACCATTCAAGGATTGATGATTGATGTAGTAGTATAATTGTAAGGAGAATTTAGATCCCATTAGTACAACTGCAGTTATCCCTTTCATTATTACTCAGGTGTATCTAATAAAGCTCAAAATTAATAACTGGTTGATGCTTTTGGGTTTAAGGTGTGAATTATCTTGAATTATTTAATGTACAGTATGTATAAATTTTTTAAGGTGATATTATCAGATGCTAATGTTCCTGGAGAGGGTGAGCACAAGATTATGGACTACATCAGAAAGCAAAGAGGTGAGATTTGCCTCTCACTCCCAAGATCATATGTACCTATAGAATGAGTTGGAGAGCTGTACAGGATAGGATTTGGCTCAAGGCCATAACATCATGACCAAGAGTCAAATATTTTCATGTCTGCCCTGACCTAAAGCATTTCATCACATGACTGCCATTCTTCTCATTCTTTCTGTTTTTCCATTTTCACATCTTAACTCTTTAACTCCCAGAAGTGATTAACATGTAACTTCTCCCCATAAAATCAACACAGTATCCAACAAACAGGTATAGAGAATACTCAAACTTACCAGATAGTTGTTATTTTGATCTAACACCAATTTCTCATAACTAATTTGCAAGGAAATATGTTGTAGTCAGAAGGGAGAATTAACAAACAGATCTTAGGAGTTAAAGGGTTAAGTGGCCAAACACTGGGCAGTGCACCCTTTTCTGTCCCAGTCCACCATGGAGTATTAGAAACCTTACAAATTGGTTACAAATTGGCTTTGAAAATAAAGTGATTTCTGGTATTCATTTGGAATTTTCTCTATTTCTTTGACCCAGCTGAGATGTTTGGATATTTTCAGGAGGACTTTCTTTTCTTCCTTTGTATCTTAATTAGTCGTTGTAATATGAGGACATTTGATAAACCTCTAACTTCACCATAGTGGTGTGGAAATTGCATTTGCTTCTCTTTTTTGTTTGTTTCAGCAAGTCCACATCATGACCCAAACACAAAGCACTGTTTGAATGGCGCTGACGGTATGTTCATGTCAAATGCAAGTCATAATTATCGTTTCATTAAATTAATAATATCAGATAATTAGAGCTGACATAGTTGTTTGGTTTCTTTCAGCTGATCTGATTATGCTGGGTGAGTATTATGAAGAAATCCCATTTTGTTATAAGTGCCATTGTTGACAAATTGAGTTCTTGACATAATTTAGAGTTACATATTGGGTCCTCTTTGGCCAATTTCTTGTATGGACCTTGTAGCAGGTAGATACCAGTATTATTTGGAATTGATACCAAGTTAACAATCTTTCTTTTTTTATTGCCTATGTCCAGTTCCTTATGTTAATTCTTCACACCCTAACATCAGTATGCATATTCTCCATACTGTTCTCTATACATTTCCTGAGGTGCTGACAAGGAGAATTAAATTAGCTTCTTTTGCTGGTGATCGTTTCTTTGATTCTCATGACCTGAATGATTGATTCAGTTGTGATATTTTAAGGAGAGATTGGATGCTAATCACCTCAAGGAGTCAGAGGGTTAAATTTCTGCCTTTCCACTTCTTTTGTACAGGACTTGCAACTCATGAGCTTCACTTCACAATCATCAGGGAAGAGTTTAAACCAAATCAGAAGAGACCTTGTGAGATGTGTGGTCAAGTTGGTGAGAGTTTCTCTAAGTCCTGTTGTTATTACCTTAGATGTGATTTTTAATCTACAACATCTACAGACAGCACTATTCCAAATTCACTGATCAGAGACATCCCGATAAAAATATCTTTATTTTTACCTCAATCAAGTTGTGGTAGTCGCCTTTTACTGAGTTGAAAGAGCCAGTTTATTTTATTATCTTACACCTGTGTTGAAAGGTCAGTTAAATTGAAACCACTCCTCCATTATGTACCATCTGAAGCACTTTTCCAATAAGGATTGTCTTGTTTCTATTTTAACCCCATTTTCTGTGGTCACAGGCCATGTTATGGATGAATGTATGGGTCTTCCAAAAGAAAAACAAGGGGAGGTGAGTTTTTTTTTAAAATATGTGTCAGCTTAATCCTTTAGGTGACCAAGACAGAATATCTCCTTACACTATTAGTACAATATCAAGCAGACAAGTAATGAGAATGATGAAAAATATCAATTAGGGGATTATTGGTTGATCCAAATCCAAATTCTCCAAACTAACATCAAAGAATTGTATGGCAGAAGTAAGGAGAGTTGCTAATGAGATCTTGGAAGTTAAAGGGTTAAGAAGTTCACACTGTAGGAACATAAGGGAGACACTGTCTCAGAAGGTGACATGGTTGTCAGTCTAACCTATTATGACTGCAACTGAGAAGTCCTTGATTGTTAAACAAAATTCTCCTTGTCAGCACCTTAGGAAATGTATGGAAAACAGTTTGGAGAATATACATACTGATGTTAGGGTGTAAATTATCAAAACAAATACATGCATTATGTTGTTTGACGTTTTTAACGCAGTTTGATGAGCTCCCTACACCTGTGGCTCAAGAAGTAGAGTTTATTTTCATCAGGCTGAACGTTTTACGGGAGGTGAGATAAAATATTATTTGAATAAAGAAAAAAATTTAACATAAATGACAAGGTTTCAGTGATTGCATGGTTATGAGTTTTAGTGATAGCAAATTGATAATCGGGAGTGAAAGGGTTCATTGAATCAAGCAGTTATGCTCATTAAAATCGTTATTCACTTAAACTTGCTTCAAATTTGCTTTATAGTACCTCGAGCGTGAATTGAGAATGGAAGGCCTTCCTTTCCCGTATAGCTTTGAGGTTAGTTAAGCTGAGCATGAATTTGTCATCTTCAGAGAACCAGACGCAGTTTTTTATGGACAAGCAAAATCACGAGAAAAGAAATGTTGAAAATTAAACCAAGAAAAAGTCATTATCCGCTCTAGCTGCCAGTGAATGAATTGTTGTCAGTAAAAAAAGCAAAGCGCCTGAAGTCCGAGAAAACACGAGTCACCAAGGCGCGATAAATCTGATTTGTTCAGTAATAATATACATGAAAAAAATTACGCGCGTCTGGTTGGCTGAAAACTCGTGCGATTTTCACGTAACACGAGTGCAACGTTGTAACAGGAGTGCAAATTACAAATAGCGCGCGCGCGCGCTGCCCAAATTTCGTCCGTCTTGACTTTGTGGGATGCGTTTTTCATGTAAATTATTAAAAAGTAATAACATGATTTCTCGTGCAATTTGGTGTAAATAAGCACATATATTTTTCAAAGACTACAAATTACACTCGTCCTACGGGTTCGTGCAATTCGTAGTTGAAAAACTTACTCATGCTTATTAACACCAAATTGCAAGAAAACTCATGTACACCTATACAAAGGAGCGCGAGTTTTCTGGACCAATCACAAAGCGAGGTAAAGCAAAACCAAAGAACTTCCGGGTTACTTTCAACACTGAATTGAAAACTGCTCGTCAAAGTTTGGTAACACGAAGTATTAATCCGTTGTTGTGTTCCTTCACTCAGCGCTGTCTTGATGACTGGGTATTCATGTGCTTCTTTGTAGGCAATGATTTCCTCCCTCACTTGCCGTCTCTAGAAATCAGGTAAATTTTTATTATGGATTTGAATTGGTGGTCTTGTTGTTGGCACAGATACTTTGGCAGATCTTTTTCTGAAGAGTTTGTCGCTGAAAATGTTTTAGTTAACTTTGCTATTTTTTTTCTTTCATTGCTAGAGAAGGAGCCATAGACCGTTTGGTGGGAATTTACAAGAGGGTACTACCAAGATGTGGGGTATGGATAGGAAAAAATCATTTTTAACCCTTTAACTCCTAGAAGTTATCAACATGAAACTTCTTCCTATAATATCCTTACATTACCTAGCAAACAGCTAATGAGAATATTCAAACTTATCAGGTAGAAGTTGTTGTCCAGAAGTTGTAGCACCAAATTCTCATGACTAATTTACAAGGAAATTTGTAGCAGCTGGAGGGGAGAATTATCAATCAGATCTTGGGAGTCAACTGCCTTTTCTATCTTTGTGGTAAAATTTATTTAACTGTAGTTTCTCATTTGAACCGTGGAGCAAAATTTTTAATGCTGTCATCGTCATGATTTAAACACTTGACCCGGTTATGGAAGGGTGGATTATGCTGTCTTTAACCCTTAAACTCCCAAGATCTGATCGTTAATTCTCTCCTTTAGCTGCCATTTTTCCTTGTAAATTGGTTACGAGAATTTGGTGTTCAATCAAGATAATATCTTGTATCTGATAAGTTTGAGTATTCTCACTACCTGTTTGCTGGATAATTTATGGATACTATAGGGAGAAGTTATCTGTTAATCACTTCTGGGACTTAAAGGGTTAAATCAGGGTCTTAAATAGCTGTGCCTGAGAATGCGCTGCCTTTGCTACATAATGTATGTTCTAGTCGGACATGGACGATAAACCGTAGGTCCAGTCTCACGCATCTTCTCTGCACTAATTAGTTTTCTCGTTTCAGGGCTACCTTGCTAAACATGGTATTGTGGATCTTGGCAGAGTACAGATGATTCTTCAAGGTAAGCAAAGTTTTTCATGTGTACTTCTCAACTCTGGTAGTAAGATAGTGCTTCGTTGTGGCCCAAACTATAAATTTTTGAGCTCTTTTTTATTCATTTTTGTAGAGCTTGGTTATGTGGAAGATGAAATCTTTAAGAAAAGACAGGAAAACGAAGTAGGTATCTATCGTTAAATTGATGTTAAGTAGGGTGATTTGCTCTGTGGTATGTGCGTACAGCATTTTCTAACAGAAATCTCTCTTAGTGAACTGGTTCTCAGCAGAATAACTGGTAGATTAAAATTTGAAGTAAAACAGGACACCAGTATTGTAACTGTTTTAGTTTCCGTCTTCAACTAGCGACTACCTCTTTTGTTTATTTAGTTGGAAATCAAACGCGTGGAAGAGGAAATTTTATGCTCAAATTATTAGCCAAGCTTTTATTCAATGTCTTTTTCTTTACTCTAGTTACAATATAGAAGACGTTTGAAAGCAAATAAAGAGAGAGAAAAACGACAAAAGATGGTATGTACCTCATTTATTCAGCGTTGAATATTTCTGTAAGTATCGCTTTTGTGGTTTGGTTGACGGAACAAATCTCTGCCCACGTGATTTTTGTTGTTAAATCTGGTGAAGCATAAATTTTCAACCTTAAAACATTTTTAGCATATGTATGCGAGCGGTTTCAATCAGTCGTCTTGAAACAAAAACGAAGTATGTAGAGTAATTTTCAACGGAGGCTCGTAAATATTCCAGGATGACATTGGTTTTGTTTTACATCGGTCTGTGTTTGGTCCGGTCTTGAGCTATGTCTAAACCAATCAGACGCCAAATGAACACCACTCGTGACTTGGCCGCCCGCGTTTTCCCGCTCTTTTCGTAGTCAGCCTGAATTGCTCTGAGTCCTCATTGGCCAGTGATGACTCAAAGCTTTGTTTTGATTGGTTGTTGCGATTACTTTGGGTTTTGGTTTTAAGACACTCAATTGTAAACTGTTCCAAGACATCCAATCAAAACAAGAAAAAATATCGCCCGGAAAAACCGAAGTTAAAACCAACGACTTGTCTCTTGGAAGCGCGGGAAAACTCCAATGAATTGGCGAAGTAGAGTAAAAGTAATTAAATCGTGAATTGTCTTACATCTCAAGAAATAATGTATTTTGCAATGAAACGAAAATGTGTGGTTTTTTCCGTAGCGGGATGCTCCTCTCTGGACACCAAGTGGACAATTTAGCCCTCATGCTATAACTAACACACCTTCAGCTGTTGTCTCTCCTCGACAAGAGGCTTACGCCATGCGAAAGCAAGCTATGTCCTATAGTGGTGGCAGTTCAGAAGCAGCTAATAAGGTAAAAGTCTTAACGCGAGCGGCTCACACAGTCAGAGTTTAGCCTGGTTTAGTATTAAGCGAGCACGAGTATTGACATTCCCTTTGAATAGGATGCATGTTCATCTGTGGTTACCCCCACCTCTCCCCCCCTTGCGTGTTTCGTGTTTCCTTGGCTGCCCAGCAGTACCTAAGAACGTAACTCAGTGATCAGTATGTGTATTCTCCATGCTGTTCTCTATACATTTCCTGAGGTGCTGACAAGGAGAATTTGTATGACAATCAAGAGCTTCCTTAATTATTTATCATTTTATGTATTCTCGTAACGTCAATGTTTGATTCAGGGGTGTATTGCATCTAATTGAAGGAGAGGGGGGCGTGAGTTATCTTAGGGCCTAATCTTTTAATGCTGATAGTATTTATTGACTAAGATGCTTTATTTGGTTTTGTAGAGTGCTGCAGCAAATCTTAGAGCCATGCTTGTAACACCATCTCCTGATGCTAATACGGTGAGTAGATCGCGAGGCAAACTAATCGTTCACACAAAATTGTCCGTTTAATTTTCATTGTTTAATGTCCACAAAAAAGAACGTTAGAGCCATCTTGCACCGCATGCTTTCATCTACAACGACCTTGCATGGCGCTGTAATCTGTACCACATGAAAGTACTGCTCAGGAGCTTTCACTTGATTGGTGACGCACCCGGGTATCGTCCATAGGCTTTGGAAGTTCGAACCATCTTGTATACAGCACAGTAAACAGTACCACACGAAATTTCTGCTCAGTAGCTTTCATTTGAATGGTAACACGTTAGGGTTTCTTCCACAGACTTGCAAGTTTGAACCACCTATGGTATAATGTACATTATAAAATAATTCAAATAGTTCGCGCGCTCTGATTGGCCATAAAACCATTTTACATGAGCGTATGTAAACACGGTTTTTGTTCCTCTTTCATTAGTTATTTTATAAAAGAAATGTAAAATGGTTTCCGTGTTTACATAGCCTGATGTAAAACACTCCGCTTCGCGTCGTGGTTTCTTACGCTTATCTCGTGTTCTCCCAACCTCCCGCGTGTTTACATCAGGCTATGTAAACACGGAAACCATCTTACATTTCTACAATGACACAAGAAAGTACTTCTCAGTTGCTTTCATTGTAATGGTCACTCAATAGGGTTTTACCTTAAGATAAAGCTCTAACTACCTGGCATAGCTCTATGTAAACAGTACCACGTGAAAGTACTGCTCAGTAGCTTTCATATCAATGGTCACATGCCTGGGTTTTATCATAAGACAAAGCTTGAATCACCTTGCATAGCACCATATAAACAGTACCACATGAAAGTACTGCTCAGTAGCTTTCATTTGAATGGTCTCACATTAGAGTTTCATTTACAGACTTAAAAGTTAGCGTGTCTTCAAACCGCAGTACATAATGCATTCGTATTTAAATCAAATGGTCTTTGCTTAGGTCTTTTTCTGATTTTCCTTTTAAAATTAGTCTTCTTCAAGTACGCCAAACTCGAATCCAGCATCAAACAAGAGAAAGCATGAAGAGGAAGACGAGGAACCTAAAGATGATATTCGGTAAATAAACTTCCTCATACATCATTTAGATGTTCAGCGCAGAAGTTAATAGACAGGAGCGAGTGTAACACGCGAGCGAGAGAGTAAACACTTCTCTCGCGCGCTTTAATTCTCACGCTCGCATATTGTTATTATTCGCTTTAATGATTTAACGCCCGTTAGGTGATGTTATTGTGTATTAGACTGAACGCCGTAGGTATCTGCCACTTTAATTCGTCCCTTGAGGCAATAGGAATGTCCCGGCGCCCGTGAACTATGGGAAGTGTTTCCCAGGGTTCACGTAGCACTGTCACGTGTTGACATGTGTACAAGATGATAGACGTTAGGAGTGGGTCTGGAATTCGGTTTTCGGTTTTGTTTTAAGGGAAAACTGTGGAGTTTGATTCTTTTTTCTCAGGTTATGGGAGGCAGGATGGAAAGGCCGTTATTACAAAAATAAATTTCAACTGTCTGAAGACGATGAAGGTTATGATGACTTCAGGAAGAAAGTGGTAAGTTCCTGTGTTCATTCAAATGTTGAGGGATTTGAAAAGCACTTGGCCGGCTCGCTTTTCAACAAAAACATTCTGCTCTTACAGTGTTTCCGTAAAGCTGGGAATTTTTGGTGAATTGTCTGGGAAACTTGTCGGAATGCCTAGTTTTACCTGCAGTGAACTGGTATTCTTTCAAATGGATGTATAGCAAGCTGGCTAGGTTATTCCCATGTCCTCTTATGTGACGTGCGGTTGGGGATTGTGAGGTATGCAGCAAAGGATGATGGTATTGCGCGCTACCGCGGGTCAATTAAGACGACTTGGGATGATGTTAGTAGAACTGTGGAAACTTCTTACCATTGTCAGTCTATTAGGTTACTTTGTATGGAAGGAGAAAACCATATATTAACTAACTTACTATTGGAATTTAAGGAGGATTTTTTTTCACGAGCTTAAAAACTCTCTAGTTCAGCTTACTAAGATCTATGAAGAATCCGTTGTCACTTTGAATCTTTCAGGCACACGCCTATGTGGAAGGACTCTGTTGGGTTTTACTTTATTACTATCAGGTATGTCAGGTTATATGTAATCCAGGATTGCGTTGGTTTTTCTTCACATCGCTCTCTTATTGGTCTACAAAACTCGCGCCACCTTCTCAACCAATCAGATTACAACTAAAAGTAATCGCCTCTTGGTCGCCTGCGTTTTCCCGCGCCTCAGGCAGTTTGCGTGGTTTTTAAATTTCAATTTTTCTCTTCCTTTCTTCCCTTTGTATTATTTTTGTATTCACGCGCGACGCACGTGATTTCACAAATAAGCCAATCACGTCAAAGAATTCTAATCTTGACATTGGGAAACTGACGTGGACATTTTTCGCGTACTTTTTGTTTTGTTTTCGCGGAGTTTTAGTCAGTTGTTTTTTAGCTTTCGTTCGCGTAGATTTGTTACCCCTCTGTTTGGAATTTCAAGAAGTTTCGGAGTTCTTATTTTAGCCAAATGTTGTTGTTCTTTTAACAAGTTTAATACATACATATTACGGAAATAGGGCTCTAGCCTCTTTTTTCGTAAATGGATTTTATACATTTGGTTTCATGATAATAAATCGAAAAGCGCTAAAAGGTCAGTTTTATCATTTAGTTTACGTTTTTTTTCAGGGCTGTCCTTCTTGGAAGTGGTTTTATCCATATCATTACGCTCCCTTCGCCTCAGATTTCCGTGACCTTGCATCACTTCCAAATTCTTTTGAAAAAGGAACACAACCGGTGAGAATTAATGGAACAAAACCGAATTAAAACTTTAAAAAATGTTTTATTTTGTTTCACTGTGTTTAAATAATAAGTGCGCTAAACCGCTCATGCACCTGCGTGCGTTCAGAAACTTGAGAGCATGCGCGCGTGTACTTACGTGTTTGTGTGTGTTCGGGCTGCCGTTGCATTGTGGTCCCGCCACTTAAAACATCGAGTTAAAAACTCTTTTCAGGAATAAAACAGTAGGATGAGGGGGGTCGGAGTTGCTATTCTTTGTATCTACCCTGTAAATCTCTTGGACATGAGCTCTATGTTTAAATGTCGCGCTTTTTAATTCACATTCTTTTTTTCTATTTTGCACCGACAATTTCTTTGTATTTTATTTGAGCGAAGAAGCGAATAAATTGTTAGATCGACGTGTTTGTTATTGGTAAAATGATGACTCTGTTCTTCTGCAAGCTCCGGCTTTAAGACTATGCTGCAGTGCTTGATTGTGCGCACAGCTATCGCGCATAAATTATGCGCTCTGAAAAATGTGTGGTACATTACTGAGGAAGTCTAAAGGTAGTTTCTAATATGTTATTTTTATTATTATTTTTTCAGTTTAAGCCTCTGGAGCAACTGATGGGAGTATTCCCAGCAGCCAGCGGAAACTTTCTTCCTCCAACCTGGAGAGAGTTGATGTCTCACCCAGTAAGTATCGTTTGTAATGTAATCTTATTTTCTTCACTAACAATTTTGGATTTTGTTTATAGGAAACTTAGTGTATGAAGAACATTGCGGAGAATTTATAACAAGATCTGGGGAGTAAGAGACTCAAACGCATTTTGATTCGTCTTTCAGGAGTCGCCGATTATTGATTTCTACCCACTGGATTTTGAAATCGATCTCAACGGGAAGAAATACGCATGGCAAGGTAAAGTAGGCTCAACCAATCAGGTGCAAAATTAGAACCGCTCGTGACTCGGTCACCCGCGTTTTCCCGCGCTTCAGCCATTTTTATTAGTTTTACTTTGAGTTCTCGCTTTGCTTTGATTGGCTGTTGTGGTTTTTATTTTACGACACTCAATCGAAAAGTGCTCTGCACTGTGACCTTACATGCTTATTATCGTTGTTCTCTTTCAAGGTGTAGCCCTGTTACCGTTTGTTGACGAGAAGAGACTTCTCGGCGCTCTCAGTGGAGTATATCCAGATCTCACTGAATTTGAAAGTAAGTTTGATTTATCCCTTCTTACATAAATGGTAACTTGCTCTTGCCTCCATACTCATGTATTTGTATGAGGAAACTTTCAACGTAACCACCAAGAGTTTCAATCTTTCGATAATTTTTTGACGATCCTTGATAACTATGATGTAAAACAGACTCGTCGTTTTCGTATCTTTCTATTGAATTCCTTCTGTTAATCCTTAAACCCCTTAGAGAGATCAATATCTAATTTCTCCTTGCAATATCATCCCTGAATCACACATTAAGGTCATGAGAATAAAGGAAATGATCATCAACTAAAGAAGCTCTTGATTGTTAAACAAATTCTCCTTGTCAGCACCTTAGGAAATGTATAGAGAACAGTATGGAGAATATGCATACTGATCTTAGGATGTAACGGGTTAATCAGATCTCATAATCTGCCAAGAAACGTTTGTACATCGTCTGTATGGTGTTCCGAACTTCTCTGCCAATCAGTAGTGCCAATGACTTCTCGCTTTGTTAACAACCTCATAGCTGCTCTTCTCCTCGGATTTCGTACAGACTTTGTACAGCGTAACGTTTTGCGTCATACTGCGGCGGTGGTATATGTTAAGGAGTTGTTGTGCACTTACATTGCTGCTTCCAACTAAGGATGTCTTTGCTTTCATTTATTTCAGTGCAAAGGAACAATCGCGGTAAAGATCGCTTGTTTCTACGCCAGGGAAATCCCATCTTTGACTTCTTTGTTGGTTTATATGAAGGAGGTGGCATCAAAGAGGTATAATTCGGGCGATAGAATGATTTTTTTTTCTTTTCCTTTTCAATTGTCGTTGGAGTTACAGAATTATTCCACTGATTGATGACAGTGGAACACTACTTCACTACTGTTGACTATGCGATCATAGCGATCCAATCTAATGGGGTGAACGATTCACCCTGTGACCCTTAAGAGTGACTAGTATCTAATTTCTCCTTACAATAGCGCCCCTTAATTAAACGTTAAGGTCGCAAGAACAGAGGAAATAATCACCCACTTAAGAGGCCCTTGCTCGTTAAACAAGGTCTCCTTAGGAAATGCATAAAGAACAGTATGGAGAATATGCATTGTGATGTTTGGGCGTAAAGGGTTCATTGAAATCCTGTGTTAAGCTGACACTAGCGACAGCAACCCGTGCTAGGCTCTGAATTAGTGGAGACAATGACAAGCAAGGGGATGCAGCTGTTACAGCTGTCAGAAAAACGGCTGTATCTCGTATTGCATTTTTGTAACGCTCCCGCTTATTTTGGGAACGCCATTTTTTGGGCTCTCATTCTTTTCGCTTGTCTCCACTGTTTGAGATCCAGAAACAGGCGCCAACGATAATTCAGAGGTTTTTCGCTGAGAAGAAATTTCAAATTATTCATCAGACATCTTAAGTTGTCTCCTTATGTCTTTGCAGGCGGTTGAAATCGTGGCTAATCTGAGTGGTGGCATGTCGGGAAAAGTAGAACCAGACGATGTTCCTATTTTACCGTACAAGTAAGAATGAACGACTGATCTGTAACCATCTGAGTAACACTGTTGATGGAGATGTGTGCTCCAAACATCACACGATTTTTACTTTCGCTATGAAAACGTATACCTGAGATAATGACATTGACTGCGTTTTGAGATTCCAGAGCGTAAACTAGCCTTTCGAAAATTGTCTTTAAATAATCCTAAAATTTAATCACGGGTGGCGCCATTCTGAATATCTCTCAGCAACCTGGCCTCTTACCTGCACTGGTGATTGGATTTTCTACAAAGTTTGTGTTCACTAACACTAAAATAAATATGAAATGTATAGGAATGCTATAACTAAGATGAAGCAGCTTAATGGGTAGTTTCCTTTGTATTCAAACACATAAAGTCGTGAGGTTGATGTAAACTGATTGTGGAATCAATAGACAAAATTATTTTATCGTATCCTCGACTGTTAGGGGACGCTTATTTACCCGATCATACTTGTACCTTATTGCAGAACTGTTCCATCTCCCATACCTCAACTTTACGACTTACGGGACAACCGAACGATAAGGTAAGATACTCCTACGGTTTACTCTTTAACCCTCTGGAGTGAATTGCATCTAATTTCTCCTTACAATACCAACCCATAATCAAACATTAAGGTCATGAGAATAAAGGAAATGATCACCAACCCAAGAAGCTTTGATTATTAAAAAAATTCTCCGTGTCAGTACCAAAGGAGATGTATATAAAAGAGTATGAAGATTATGGAAACTGATGTTACATCCTGTTTGTCAGAAGAGAAGGCGTCCTCCCATGATCCTGTTGCATTTTGCCCTTCCCACTCCTTTCCTGTCTTTGCCACTGAATCTCTTCGTACGGTACATGATTACATACATCCCAAGAGTGTATTTGTTAGCGTCGTTTTTTTTTTTTTTTTTAATTGTTTTTGGTCATCGCAGTAGTGGTTTTTGCATGCGGCGCGTCGTCGTTATCGTGGTCGTCGATGAATCTTTTTGTTTGACGCCCGGCCTTTTCCTTTGTCATCTTCGTTGTTGTCTTTTCCCTTAATCTTCGTGGGAAGGTCTTCGTGGGAAGGTCTTCGTCGGAAGGTCTTCGTCGGAAGGTCTTCGTTGGAAGGTCTTTGTCGGAAGGTCTTTGTCGGAAGTTTCCGTTGTGGCTCTCTCCTTGTCAAAGCTACCTTTCTCTTCATCGTCGATCACTCAATCGTAATTCTTGTTCTACAAATAAAACTTGTCGTGATGATTATTTATCTATTAAATTCTATGCTTCCTGGTTTCAGTGTCCTGTTCACGGATCCTGTTTACGATGACGATCATATTTTCAAAGCAGATGTTTTACCCAAAGCAGAGTAAGTCAGTTTTAATACTTAGCAGCCGAAAACGTTAACCCTCTCCCAATTAACAAAATGTAACTCTGAAAAATTAAAACCCTGTCAAACGTTTTTCTACTTACGAAGAAAATAAGCGTATAATTCCTGAGACAAAACGTCCCAAAATCGTTTATGCTAGAATTGGACGAAAATCGAACCTTTCCCGTCCCCTTGGGGGATCCCTCTTCTACATACCGCACCGCTCCTTTCCCTTCCCTTGTTGGGTTGTCAACAGACCCTTCACTCTGAGAAACACCTTCCTTTCCTCCCCCCCCCCCCCCCCCTGTAACTCAACCAGGACTCGGTACAAACATGATGTAAGTCAAACTAAGCTAATGTCGAAGCGCCTTTGATTGTTCATTTTAATGCTCAGACTTCCAGCCCGTGTTCTGAAGCCTGAGGGTTATGACAGAAATGCTCCATATCGGCCGGTCACAGGAATGAATCCTAACAGGACGTCGTTCGCTCAAATTGACAGCGCTGGAAGAAGAATGCTCAAGTAAGTGAACTGATGGCGTTCATAAGAAAACCGAGAGACCTAGCATAAACAGATACTCAGGCACCCGATATAGGGTAGCGCGCGAAGAAAACGCGCAACGTGCAACAGAGGCACTATCCTCTTTGCGAGGGGACTTGCGACGCGCGTGTCGCTCAAAAGCAAGGGCATGCTTGTGACATGGAGTGACGACTTTACATCGCGAATACTTCTCATTATTAAAATACGTTCGATACAAAGAAATTCAGTTGATTTTAGCAAGTACTCATCTTTTTGGAGGTTTTGTTGAGCGAAATAGAAAGGTTGAGTGTTAATTACCCAGTGACTTAGTAGTGTCCAGGCTTACTCTGATTTCTGAGACGTAAAGCGACTTGGAGTACTAAATGTTACGCCATCTTTTACGCCCCCCTCCAGCATTTAGTCAGGATTCCCTGCTAGTTCACATCTATTTATTCACTGAACCACCCTACTTCCCACCTTCGACCAAGCAGAGTCTGTTCCACATAAACGAGCGTATTGCTCCTCAAAATGTTTTGCAACTGGCAAAACATCCGCGCGTATCATGTTAAACCATCGAATAAAGTGTTTGTATTTGTTGTCTCAGTTTTCACGGAGGTGAGGTATTTCGTCTATCTACACCGGGCAGCCACGCTCCTCCCTTCAGGTCATACTCAGTCCCACCGCAGAACTACCCAAGACATGGTCATCCTCCTCATTCAAGATCCATTCTGGGTACACCTCCATCATCACGTGATTACAATGATCCAAGACGAAACAACTCTTATAGGCAGCAGGCACCGCGTCACAATTCAGGCGGTTACCAAGGAAACAGACCTACGCCGTGGTCTCATATGCGGCCTTCTTATCGGGAACCTGGGCCAAATCAGCCCCATTTCTCGCGCGGTAATTATAACAACTCACCACGGGACCCGCGGGAAAATCAAGACAATCGGTACCGGGGTGCCCCGGCCAGGGTCAGTATTCTCGCTGGTTTAGCTGGCATTGTATGAGTTATGCTAGAACAAAGTCAATCATTGGTTGATGCGTTTGTGATTTTCTCTAATTTGGCTTTTGAACATTTGTTTGTTTTGTTATACAGCATGATCATCGCCAGTCACACCAGCTCTCCAACTACCGCTACAGACCTTACTAGCTGAACTGCGTCGTCATCCTTAGCAACCAATCATTAAGCCAGCAGGAACGTAGTGGACTACAAAACTCGTGGACGGGGATCTGTTCAGTAAAAGCTGTAAGAACACAGTTCCGCTTCTCCGTCATTACTGAGGCTTTACACAACGAAATGGCTGGTTTCCATTACTATATCAATAAGACATTTATGCCTATGATTTTATCTGTCAGCATCACTTCTTTTTGTCCTTAATACCCTAACATACGTATGCATAATCTCCATAGTGGTCTCTAAACATTTCCTAACGTGCTGACAAGGAGAATTTGTTTAACGATCAAGAACTTCTCCAGTTGGTGATCATTTCCTATATTCTCATTACCTTAGTGTGTGATTCGGGAGTGGTAATGTTGGGAGAAATGAGATGCTAATCACTGTTATGGATGAAAGGGTTAGCTTGAACTTAGCGAAAAGGAAGGTATTTCGTAATTTGCCGGCGACTGTCAGATAACTGTAAACTAAACTTAATGAAGACTTCACGTACTAGATATTTGAGCCGTAAAGTTTGAGGCGACATTTACGGCAGAGTTTAAAGACTCTCGTGTTTATCTTTTTGTCAGCAAGATTTTTAATTTCGTGTAAATTGGGACTTGCATTTAGTTAATTCTTGCACAATTTCTCTACCTAGTTAGTTATTTCAATTGAGGTCTCCTTTAGGTATTTATGCTTTAAAAATCAATACCAGGACTTATGTAGCATTAGTAATTCCTTTTGTATGGCACTGTCACCTTATAAATCGGATTTTTATAACGTTAAAGACTCCTGAGTGAAAGCTGTTGCCAGGTCAATGTACAATAAAACACTTTCCCTTCTGCTTTTGAATTAATTCTTGCCGAGACGAAAACTGAATTTAAAATTATACTAGTCTGATATGCGTTTTAAAGTTGACAGCGTCCTGAATCATTTTTACATTGTGCATTAGTAAAGTAAGAGAATGTGAGAGAGAGGGAGGATTTGGTGAGTGCGCCATTGAAAATAAATTATTCCCATATTCCTACGAAACAATAGAGGCGATTTTGATCCTTTATCATCGGTCTCTTTCAAAACCATGACATCAAATGTCCTCTTTTGTTTGTTTGTTTGCTTCCTATTTTTTGTTGTTGTTGTTGATCCAATTATTTGTCTATCGGCTTCAACGCATTCTGGTTTATACCCAATTCACACCAAAGCTTAAACATGTTTTAAAACTGTTTTCTCAAACTTGGCTTTAAGCTCTGTTTAGACAGATGTTTGTCGACTTCCAATTTTATAGCACATGGAAAATACAAGTCAGTGATTACTTGAATCCTTGGGAAAATTCAGTTTTTCAGTAACCTGTGTCTGATTTTCATTCTGTTCAACTTGGTTTAACTAAACGTGTCTTGCTGGTGTGAATGGGGTATATAATGGTTCCTATGTCTGGTACAAACCAGTTGGGTTACATGAAGGAAAAACTTCATCTGCTCTCCAACATGTGCGTAGATCACTGGAAAAATTGTCAAAATCATTCATGAGCTAGATTATACTTCTACTGATGTCATCAATGCAAGGAATGACGGTACTTTTCAGGAATTGCATCTAAAAGACCTACAGGTGGAAAAAAATTTGTGTATTAATTGTAAACCAGCATTTGGGGACAGAAAAATAAGGAGACTATTTCAATCCTTTATCAACGTTGGTTGCTTTTCAGAAAAGCGCGAGAAGTTCTTAATTCCGATATGGGGCTTAAATTCTTTCATCCAATTATCTACTTTTGACGCGGCGGTTTTAAGCGAAAAGTTAAAAAATAGTTACCTTTCGACTCCATCCAGTCTTTACTAAAGAGACGCGCGAAGTATTTCTACATTGTGTACGCGACAAAAAAAAAAGAAAGAAAATATTGTTAGTAAGAAAATGCAGTGACTAGAGTCAAACAAAATCACGTGACTTGGAACGTACCTGCCCTGTGTCACACAGACATGTGGTAATCACGTGGCCCGGACCAAGCATCTCGGCGACCTGTGAAAGAAAAAGACATCGATGAACTCATTTGAGTTCAAGTGGAATACTTTCCGAATAAAAACAAACAAACACTTTAACTACCGAAGGTGCATGGGCGATTTTATGTCGCAATATTGATGATATTCTCAGAGAAGCCTCTATTTTTGTCCATTTCCTCGGGCCGGGGTTTTTGATACCCAACTGATACTAATCCTTAGTAAGAGGCAGAAAAAACCTATACGTTGCCATGAAAGTTAAGACTGGATTGGTGCAGGAGCCCTCCTGATTGTTGCTAATTGTGTTGTGCCCCTAACAACTCTCTCTGGCGGTTTCGCCGCTCGTTCCGTCGGGCTACTCTCGACACGGTTCGGACTTTACACGACCATATCTGAGATACACATGACACGACCACAGCAGCTACGCTGTATTGTTATCGTGTATAAATAAATGCTTTATTATCTTTATTATTATTACTATTATTATTATAATTAATACACCCTAGGCAAATTCACTGATTTAAGCTTGCAGAAACAGTCAACAGAGCTATTAAGATTGAAAGGATGAAAAGTCAATTTACCTTCACGGCTGCAGCAACGTTTAAACCAGACGAGGCGCCTACAAAGAAGCCTTCTTCGTGAAGCAAATAAAAGGTCTGTAGAAAAAGGTTGAAAAATGCTTCATGACCAGGTGAAAGACTTTTTTAGTTTTATCAACAGGATTGATAATATTACTTGGCCACTGTTAAGAGATTCTACAACGAACGTTTCGAGCATTAGCCGTTCGCTCCGACCGACCGACCGACCGACCGACCGACCGCCTCACTTACCCACTCACTCACTCACTCACTCACTCACTAAGTAACTCACTGACTCAATAATAAATTACCGAGTGTTTTACCAACATCCCAAGTGGGTTATTACGCCGATAAACCAATAGAAAACGAGCTCCAGTCCTTTTTTTTACTATAAATCTGCCAACATTCTATCGCAAATGCTGCTTTACCATCGATTCCGTGATAGATAATTAGTAAAGTGGGTAGTAAAACATTGCGTGGTTGTAAACAAAATAAGATAATAATATGAGCATTTCCTACTGATATGTTTTAAGCGACGTGTAGATTTATACTTCAAAAATTAGTTTATTCTCTCTCGATTGGTATTCGTGTTGGGATATGAGGGCTTTTCCCTCATCAACTATCTCGTGATAGAACTCTCGAGCTCATAATCTAATCGTTAATTAAGATGGCAATGAGTCTATCGGTAGGATAAACGGGAGACTTTGGACATATCAGTACGCGTCAAGTATCTCAGCTACTTGGTAAAAATTAATGAACAAAGGTATCATCTGCGTAAATCAAAATAGAAACCAATCAAGACAGACACCAATCAAGTTGTCTAACCATCTCTACTGCTTCTTTATCAGACACAAACACAGCATCATCGATTGGAGCCCCATTTAAATTGCTTGTTACACGCCCCTGTCCAATTCCTGGGGAAAAATTTCAACATATGACAACAAACAGATAAAAACAAAATACAAACAGATACAAAATCATTTTCTATGAGATTACATCTCCTCTAAATGATAAGTTACCATATTCCTATAGCTAAGGGGCTTGAAAACGTGGAGTGTGTGGGCAAAAACATTTTGAGTCATTTCGGTTGAGATCAAAGCCGACTCTTAAAAACAGATAAGTGTGGTCGGGGCTTAAGTTCCGGTGAAAAAGCGTCTCATCCTGATGGAGTAACAAGTTTTTATAGAAGTTTCGTCCCATTGCATCAGTTCCCCCGTTCTAAAGGTAGGCGTATTGTTGTTTCGATTCATGCGACGTGTTAAGGGATGAGAAGTCTGTCACAGTGACAGGGTTTTTCGGAAAAATTTTCCACGTCACACAAATCGTAACAGCTCCCTAAAAACTGGATTAATGTTTATTTCACCTACAAGAAAAGAATGAATTCTGTTACCTTCGGTGATAGAACTTCCATCACTTCTTTTTAACTCGCCAGTTTTGATGTAATTGTACAGTACACTACCCTGTTTACATAAAGAAGGAAAAATGTCATATGCATGAAAAAAAAACTCACGGTAAACCACGAAGTACACGCAAAGATTAGTTTCTATTCACTTATTTCCAGCAGAATTATTAGTACATACGGCGGGTAATGACGAATTAATAGCGAACATTTCAAACTGGGTACCATGTTGTGACGTCACGTGGTTATCTAATATGATAACTATCCCGGACTGTTAACTATATGAAGATTTTTTTCTCGCCAGGGGGGAGTGGGGTGAGGTCATTTTTTTGTAAGGTTCGAGGTGTCAAATAGCTACTCTATTTAAATACATTATAGATTATACAAGAGGAAAGTTAGCCTAATGTCACTAAGGTATTAACCAGAATGCCTCTTCCGCCTCTCTTTTCTTAGTTAACATACTTGTTTCAGAACATGAGGTTACGTTTTTGTCAAAAGTGACACATGAAAGGGATTGGAAATTATAGAGGAGCACAGATAGCACCATACTTTTGAATTTCTCCTCCACTGGTTTTCATGCTAATAATGGAACAAGATGGAATATTACTTTGTGAGAGGTTACCTCAGGATCAGCTAAAACAACTTTGACATTTGGGTTCTTTGATTTAAGATATGTTCCTACACCTAGTATTAAAGAAAAAAAAAGAAACATTATTCCATGTGATACCTTCGGATGTGGTTCTCACAACCAACAATAACTTCAGCAACTTCAAAAACCAAATTTTAGAAAGAGGAGTGGATCATGAAGTCTTAGCTGATGTCTTGGTAAGGTAAGATATGAACCCACCCAGCCAGAGCCTATCCTGCTTTCCTTTCTACAAAGTGACTGGGTATATGACTAATTCCCACTGGATGGGAAGCCACACGAACACAAGGTTACCCCAGCAGTTCATCAAGCTCCCTGACAATCCACAGATACACATATATACTCCTGGGTGGGAAGAGGAAATGTGGAGGTGAAGTGTGATTAATCCCCACTGGATGGGAAGCCTCACCAACACAAGGTTACCCCAGCAATTCCTCAAGCCTCCCTGACCATCCACAGATACACATATATACTCCTAGGTTGGAAGAGGAAATGCGAAGGTGAAGTGTATTGCCCAAGAACACAACACAATGACCCAACCAGGTCTAGAACCCAGACCTCTCAACCCAGACCCCAGTGCACCAACCATTCACCCACCACATCTCCCATTGCAGTCTGGGTAAGAATAGTACTGAAAATGATTGTTGTTGGTAGAAATGACTGATGTTTCAACAACCAGGCGGTAAGTTATTATGGGCTCTGATTGTCAAAATGTCAGTCACCCCCAAAAACAACAGATCTTTGCAAAGCTACATCCACCTGAACTTAGACTGCACAGTCAACAGTTACATCTGGGTTCAAACCACTACTGCTTTGTATAAGAAGAAACGATGTATCATCACCTGCTAAAGTGCCACCAGTTCCGGTGGAAAACGTAACAGCATCTATCCTTCCATCAGTTTGATTCCAAATTTCTGGCCCTGTCATCTCAAAATGAGCTCTTCTATTTGATATGTTGTCAAACTAAATAAATATTGACAAATATCATTTATTTACTTTATTTTGCACCAGATGTTTAGATCATATAAAATAATCTATTAATTATGGTAATTATGATGTGTAAATGAAAAATAAAACCAAATTAAAAAAAACCACCAAGGCTCAAAAAACCCGAGCTTTCCTCTAAGGGAAAAACAAGATAGATAAATTTAGGCAAGAGATATTATAATATTGTCCAATAGGACAAAAGTGACTGAAAAGAAACTAGTGTTTGATTCTAGACACCACAGTCCCATTTTAGACATTTGCGTCCAACTTTCAACACTAGTGTCTAATCTAATATGCAAGTAACCAAATTCTGACACAAGTGTGTGGTTTTACACACTAAAGTGCAGTTTTGGATACTTGTCAGATTTTAGACACTAGTGCTGATTTTGGACATAACAAGTGTTAGATTTTAGACACTAATGACCAATTTTAGACACTAATATCTAAAATCTGACACATATAGAAACCAAAATCAGACACTGGTGTCTAAAATTAGTATAAGTGTTCAAAATCAGACAGCTGAGTCTAAAATCGCACACTAGTCTCTAAAATCAAAC